GGCAAGGGGGGGCCCGCCGGCCGGCGCCGCCGGATCCGCATCCACGGCCGCTCCGGGATGCAGCGGGGAGACGCGGGTCGCATCCCTGTCACAGCCGGCTCTTGACAAGTCCCTTCGGATGGGAGGACTCGATCCTTTCTCCTTTCCCAGCGCCATGGGACCGGGACCGGGAGACGCCGGGGAAAGTCGTTTTCCATTCGGAGCCAGGCTGGACACGGCGTGAGGTCCACGTGAGAGCACCCCGAGAGGAAAAGCACAGCCCCAGACTAAGCTCCGTGGTATTTACGGAGATTTGCCCCGTTGAGGGAATGGATTCCCTGCCTTTGGGTGCCAAGGAGGATTGTCTGCTCAGGAAGAACAACGTGCAGATGGGGAATAAAAATAAATGGCCCCTGAAATATTGTTCAAGGGATGCCCAACAAGTCTTACAAGGTGGCAAATGGGGTTTATATCCCATTACCTCCCTCCTCCTCCCTTAAAAATAAAAATCTTAAATTTTCAACAAAGTGCACCTCTCATAACTGCTTGTTTTGTTATAGGGAAGATGGTGGTAACTGAAATACCCTCCAGACAGCGAGAAGCAGATTTGCTAACAGGAAAACCAGCCACTGGCAGAGATAGCAGGGCAGTTTCTAAGCAGTAGGAACCCTTGGCCCTCTGGTACCATCTCAGAAAACCTCAACACACTGACAGGAGGGGAAAGAACCTCCCAGCACGTCGTTACGGAAGCTGCTTTTAGTTCCATTTTACTGGTGCAGAAACTGAAGCGATCCAGAGCGTGAACCCTGTACTCGTGCCGGGCCGTGCAGTTACTCATGCCGCTACTCAGTCGCACTATGAGTAACCGCAGGCCAAGACGGGTGACAAGTTCACAGTGGCACTAGGTGACTTGCCTGAGACCACACGGTCCCCTGCCCCTCTGGGCTCTACACAAAATGTCCAAGCAACCAAGGGAGCCCGTGTGGGAGAAGCTGCTTCTTCACAGCCCTCATGCCAGGGTGTTGGGTGAGATGTTGGGTGATACGGGTGTGCTGGCCAAGCTGGTCCCGCTGGCCACGTTTAGGTCCAGCGTTGGAAGAGCGAGACCTCACGATGGCAACCCAACATGGGGTGCACGGGTTGACCCGGGGCTGGGTTTCCCACACAGAAACAAGCTGTTTTGGCAGCCGTGTAGAGGGATTCAAGAACAGAGCTTAGCTGATCCTATCAGTCTCTTATAAGCACAAAAATTTACTACCAAGTCCTCCCCCTGCAATAAAACGCACGAGCACCGTCTGGATGGCTGAGTTCAACAGCATGAAGTTGCTCAGTAGGAAGTTCAACAGCATGAAGTTGCTCAGCTCTTGCTGTAACGTTAGAGCTCATGGTATTAGTGTAACCAGATTTATTAGTGTAAACAGATTCACCACCGGAGAAGAGATGGGAGAGGTCTTAGCAAATCTACACACACACACGGGGAGGGAGGGAGCCAGGTGTGCTTTGCAAGTGCTAAACTAAGGAACTGGGATGTATTTTAGTGTCCGGGGACACGTCACTGTGTCTGTGTGTTGGGTTTCTACAGCACTAGCAAAATAGAAGAACAATTCTTAACATTCTCGCAGAGGCACTGCCACAATAAACAAAATAAACAGTGATCACTTGCTAACATCCACTTCTCTGCTTCTGGAACACATCACGTGGGGTTTAAACAGAACCTGGACCTTTTCTTTTCTCACATCAAATGTACCAACGACTGCGAAAAGCTGGCTGTGCTGTAAAGCATGTTGCAAGGAGAGATGGTAGGGTGCTTCAAGCACAGATCTGAAAGTAAAGAGATAAGGACTTTGCTCCTTCTTCTGTCACCAGTTTCATGGACAAATTACTTATCCCAGATCGGCCTCTATTATTCTGCCCGTAAA